GGAATCATAGTGGATACCATCTATTGGGGAATGACTGAACCAACTACAGTGTATAAATGATAACTGATTAATATTGCTCATTAGAAAGGTTGAAGGTAAAGTATTCTGCAAGATAATGGAAGAGTTGGCTGAACTGATGCAAGAGGGAAGGAAGAAAGTGGAACATGGAGAACAACATACGGTATGAATGAATACAATAATGTAAATGAAAATAACATTGAGAGATGTACAATACTGATTAATTGCAGTGAGCACTCTTGCCTCCACAGAACAATGAAACACGCTTTTCTCATTTCCACTGAGAGATGCTGGATGACAGATGCAGAAATTTATATACACTGTCAGTTGCAATCACTGTGAAAATTGGAATTGTTTAATTGTCCTTTGTTTCAAAGAAGGTTTGATGGGAAGAGAGTCCAAATAAACATTTTAATGTGACACAAAAGCAAAAGTCCTTATTACATTTAGAAATGTTTCTAAATGACTATAATTAACTCAGCTTAGTATTAGGCAAAATAGCTCATTCCTTAAAGAATTCTTTTAAGTCCTTACTGTATCCCAATTTCATCAATCAAATAATAAATGAGCATTTAGTAAGTAACTACTGTGTGTAAGTGCTGGGGACACAAGGGCAAAAATGAAGCATTCCTTGCCCTCAAGCCATTTCATTCTATCAGGTGAGAAGGGCTCATAAACTCAGAAATCCCATTGGCTCCAGAATGAAGAGCTGAAAGGAACCAGGGAGGATATCTAATCCAATCTGGTCCTTTTTAAAGATAAGAAAACAGGTCCAATAATGTTAAATGACTTGCCCACAGAAGTAGAAAACATCAAGGCTAGGATTTGAACTCAGTTCCTATGACTCTACAATGTTCTTTTCACTGTACCATACTAGGATATAATATATAAGGTCATATATGCACACACACAAAATAAATGCCAGGTAAGCTTGGGGGGACATGAAGATTTAAGTCCTTACATGATTTTTTTTTTATTTTAGAAGAAATTGTGTCACAGGATTAAGTGATCAAGGGATTTGGGAGCTAGAAGTGACCTGGGAGTTCATCATATCCAACTTCCCTACTTAACAAAAAGCAAAACAAAACAAAACAAAAAACCAGGTAAGTAAATTAAGGACAAAAGAGTTTGCCTAAAGTCTCCTAAGTGGTAAGATATAAACAGAGTCCCATTGACTCTCAATCTAGCACTCTTCCCACTATTCCAATCCAATTGATTGGACTGCCAGTTCCTGGAGTGCTAGGAAGGTTTCATTGTCTTTCTTCTCTTTAGTGCCCAGCACGGTTGCTGACCTATAGCAGAGAATACTTCAGAAACCCTTGTTGATTGACTAATCATTGCATTGGATACAAACTCCAGGATGTAATGGTCACTTCAGACTTCTCCCCTCAAGAAGAAAGTGTCCCAAACTTAGCCTCATCCAATAGGATCTGCTTTCTAGTTAGATGATGCTTAGCTTTTCATCCACCAACGGTCTTACCCTGACTCATCCTTTTTAAATTTTCCAAATTTCCCATCAGTGGGAAACTTTGGTGTTGAATATTTCCATGTGAATCTGATTTGTCTCCTCCTGAAGCTACATCGTACCCATTCTAACCATAATACTGTTGTACTGGCTCTACAAATAGCTCAGTCAATCACACTTTTTCTTTTGTAAAATTTATGAGATCAGACACTGCAAAACCATGATTCAGCACAAAAGAACCTAAAGAAGATATTTACTCTTAGTGGTGCCAGTGGGCCCCGTATGAACAGCTGGGAAGAATTGGCAATGTAGTTTCACATCTGTCATTCTCTTGTCAAGAGCCAGGTCAATATCTGCAAGAAAAGGATCCTATGAGTTCCTCTCTTCAACTCCTCCATTCAAGCTCTTCTCCTTCCCCTCAGTGTCAGTATTTCTGAGCAGAATTATTGGCACATTGCTTCCTTCTGCTTTGGGAATTGCCACATTTTTCTCAGAGAATTAATAATGCCTTTAGAGAAATGAGGCGGAATCTCTCAGAAGGCCTGTTGAGCTATACTTTCAAAGATGAGCAGCACATATGTACCAGTTCCCATGTCTTCAGGGATATTTTGTTTGTTCATATTTCTTTTCAAATCTTTTGACACCTAAATTATAGCAGGGTGACTGAAATGCAAAATATGCTATTTCTCCAGCTCCTCACAACAAACGGCACTGATGTGTAAACGATATGCAAAGTACATTGATTTTTTTAAGTGTTGATGTGAAAAAGAGATTTGCTTTGGTTTTTAATTTTTTTGAGGCTGCTGCTCTAAGCATTTCATTTTTATATCATGAACATGATTTAATCTGGACCTGATTTTACCATCATGGCAAAGAATTCAGTATACATTGGCTCCATCTTGCATTGTATTCAAAGGAAGTTTCCTCTCAGGTGCGTCAGAAAAGCCTCAGACCATGATTCAATAGTATCGTTGCTGAGGACAAAATTAATATATTTTCAGGCAAGCATAAGAGTCTGTCATACTTGTATAGCCCTTAAAGGTTCACAAAGTACTTTCTTATCTTTTCAAATAGGGAGGAGAAATATATACTATCCTGTCGCGGGCACCTGTGTCCCTGACAGTGTTTATTTTCCGGCGAGTATGAGAGAGATAAAGAAATACGTGGGCCAGCTGGGTAACAGGTTCAGAACAAGTTCCATTTATTGATCTGAGGGCTAGGGTTTTTATACCCCATTCGTGGGAACAGAGCCCAGAGTGGAAAAAGCCAAGTATCAACAATAATTTCTCTCATGGTAACAGTAACTGGGGGGGAATCCCCCCTGGAGTCGTCTCCTCGCGTCCAGGTAATCTTTCAAGGTTTGCCGAAAATCCTTCATCTTCTTAAAGGAAAGACAGAGCCTGAGAGAGGTTGGAGAGCCTATGTTCTGACCTAGGTGGCTCTTAGATAATGGACAGGAACAGGAACAAGCCGGCTTGACCTAAATCCTCAAACCCATCAGTGTAAGCCCTCGACACTATCCTATATTTATATTAAATATAAATAGCTAACATTTATATAGGGTTCTAAGGTTTGCAAAGCACATTACATATGTTATCTCATTTGATTTGCACAACATCCCTGGGAGGTAGGTGTTATTTTAATTTCCATTTTACAGATGGAGAAACTAAGTCAGAGAGAGAGATTAAGTGAGTTACCCAGGGTCACACAGTAAGTGTCTGCACCCAGAAATGAACTCAGATTTTCCTGACTCCAAGTCAGCTGCCTGAGGCCCAGGAAGCTTAGATTATCCATGATTATAGAGCCAGTAAATCTGGGTAGTGGTATCTGAGTTCTGAACTTTTCAAACCAAGTCAAGCTTGCTGACTCTTCCTCTAACCTGTCTAATGTTGCCTGGGGTCAGTGGAAAAAGCCTGGTTAGCTGCCACTTACCTTGTGTTCCCTAGAATGTACCTCAAGGTTTGTTAGTTGCTTCTCAAATGAATTGACTAGTATCTGCAACAGGACAAATACTGAGCCAATTGATGATGATAATGAGAATAGCTAACATTTATACAGTATCTACTATATGTCAGGCACTCTGCTAAATTCTTAACAATTACTTCATTTGGTCCTCACAACAATCTTAGGAGGAAGGTGCTATAATTAACCACATTTTATAGCTGAGGAAACTGAGGCAAACAGATTTTTATCCTGATTTTCACACCTTAAGCAAATGGCAATTTTTGATTGGTTCAAGCTGTCTCATAGGCCTTATTTTAGGGTAATAAAATAAGTAAACATTGACTAACCTTTGCTACATGATAGTAGAAGTTGTGTGTGTAGACATCCAAATGTGATTTCATTTTCAGCCCTTTCTGATCCCACAAAATTCTAGTTCCCTCCGTTAGTCCCTGACTCCCTTTAATTTGCCTACCTTATATTATTTAATGTGTATTATATATATACATGTATGATATATATAAAGTATATGTATATGTATATATGTTCATATATGTTTCTTTCCCTGTCTTTGTAGCTCCAAGGCCTAAGTCAGGATCTCTTATAGTAGGTGCCTAATAAATGTTTGTTGATCTATTTATTGACTTTTATTGGAACTAAAGCTCTATAATTGAGGCAGAACCTATATACTAAACAAACAGGCAATTTCACTGAAGCAAACAAATGCATTTTGAATACTTTTTGTCTTTGCAATTCTCAACACCAAGGTCAGAGCTCTACAGATAGGAGGCACCTGGTAATGCTTCTTGAATTGAATTTTTTAATTATTTTCCCTTCTGTTGACATTAGCCAACATACTGTTTTCACCACGGCAAATAAAAGATCTCTCCTGTACTACTGATCCTTTTTTTTTTTTTAATATATAGCTTTAGATATGACAATGTTAAAGTTGACCTCCCTCCCCCATTAAATGTAATAGCCAAACATGGTAAAAGCTTAGGTTATTTTTGTGGGACTTGAAGCTGAATTATTTTTCTATCCCCAGACAATAGTGTTCATGTATTTCTGTCTGTAGTTGGACTAAGGCAAAAATAGAGTCATAAATCATACGATTTAGAGCTGAAGGTGACCTTAGATTGTATCTATTCTAGTCCCTTAGAGAAGTAGCATGGTTATACAACATAGGACACTATTCTTGAAGTCAGGGTTACCAGAGTTGCCTGGGCAAATTTCTTAACCTGTGTGCCACAGTTTCCTCATCAATAAAAGGAGGGTATTGGATTTGATGGTCTCTGAAGTCCCTTCCAACTTTACAATCTATTTCTCCTTCACTTTACAGATAAAGAAATCGAGGGCCCAAGAAATGTACGTGACTTGCTCAGAGTCACACAAGTTGTAAGTATCAAAGCCTGGATCCAAAAGCCCACATAGCAAGGAAAAGGCTCAAGAGGCATATATGTTCATTTTAAACCCATCCAAGCACAAAGCACCCCTCCCTAACTCTTTTATTGGCCTAAAAATATGTATTTGATATAGCCTAGGACTTCAGGGGATACATGATTTCATTGATGTGCTTATTCCTTCCATTGGTGTAGGTTGTAACCCACTGGTTCCTTCTCATCCTGTTCATCTCTTGTCCAAATTCTTTCATAGTCACTCCACAGAGGATTCACCCGATGTGATGGAGGACTTCCTCTAGGACTTTTCCCATTTTGTGTGTTCCAATGGGACCTCAGACTTGTCAATGTGTTCTTCCTCTTTTGCTATGTGGCTGGTTTACCTCCTTTTCTAATCATACTTTTCCAGCAAATTTCTTCTTCTAGGTAGAGAAGAGATTTAGGGAAAATAAAAATGTTAATTTTTGGAATGTATCTGCAGTGGGCAAGCATTTACTTACTTTGGTCTCTTAAATATGACAAGGTGACAACTCTTTTTAATTGTATAATTAACTTTTTTAAAATGTAAGAACAAAAAAAAATTCTATGCCTAACTAATCTATATACTTGTGGCATTTAAATAAATGCTAGTTGTTCTTTGAGGATCTTGTCCTTTTGATTCAATCTAACATAGCTGGAAATTTTAAACTGGAAAGTTTCTTCTGTAATTCAATGGGGCTATGGCTGACGTTGTGAGAGAAGAGATCATGACTTTGCCAACATTGCCTCATGAGCATGGTAAAGGATTTCAGCTGGATAATGAAATGAGTCATAATTAAATGGTGCAAATGAGCACAATTACTCATGACATTTGTGTCTTAGTGATTTTCATTCATCACCCAGCTCTTCTATTTCCCCCCTCATTGCTCAAATCTCTTGGAAATATAGTGATAGTCAGGTTGATGCCATTGGAATTTTTCTACTCAGAGTGACTGCGGGGGTTCCAAAATACACCAAAAGGCTTGCTTAGAGAAGGAAGGAAGGAAGGAAGGAAGGAAGGAAGGAAGGAAGGAAGGAAGCAAGGAAGGAAGGAAGGAGAGAGGGAGGGAGAGAGTGAGGAAGGAAGAGAGAAAGAGAGGGAGAGAGGGCTGGAGGGAGGGAAAGGTAAAGAGAGAAACATATTTACTGAAAAAGTGCATATAAGGTAAGGCTCCCTGCTTCTAGTGAATTCAACTTAGTATTCTCCAGTCGACTAAGTTACAAAACAGATGGCTCAGGTCCATTTATCTCTGCCTGAGAGGCACCAGTGTTGGGCATTTTATAGCTGGATTGTATCAAGAAGGGGGGGCATCTTCAGTCGTCCTGATCTATATCTTGCCACTGGACCCAGATGGCTCTGGATGAGAAAGTGAGGCTGGTGACTTTGCACAGCCCTCCCTCTCTTAAATCCAATACACTTGCAAGTCCTGACATCTCCTTCCTGATGTCATGGTCCTCCTCAAGAATAAAGGACAAAGGACAACAACAGCAAGGAGACAATTTAGAGGAGACGTAACCACTTCAGTTGCAAATCAGTCTTGGACCAAGAATTTTCCAGACAAAAGTTCTAGGGAAGATGTCCTTAATGAGTACTTTAATCAAAAGGTGAGAGAGGCATCAGATCCTTTAGGTGAAAATATTAAATAGACTATTTCTGGAACTCATGGTTTCTTCTTTTGTCGTAGGCAGTGACTTGGTAAATATAAAAAGATAATCATGGCATTGCGACACCCATTGGTCAGTATCCAGGTGATTGAAAGTCTTATACAGATGCCAAGGTTTATATAAATGAACTAAATATAATGTAAATGGAAGATAATCTCAGAGGAAAGGTACTAGCAGAGGAAGGGAGGCAAGGAATAAACTAGAAAAGGCCTCCTGCAGAAGTGAGGGTTTGAGCTGAATCTATAAGGAAGCCAGAAGGTAGATATAATGAAGGAGAATGTTCAAGGCTTAGAGATAGAGTGTTATGTGCAAGGAACAGCAAATAGGCCAGTTAACATATATTATAGAGTTTATGAAGGGGGGTTAAATGTAAGAAGAATGGAAAGTTAAAAAAGATTTGGATTGTGAAGATTATTAAATGCCAACCAGAGGATTTTATATTTTAAAGATAGTAGGGAGGTATAGGAATTTGCTGAGTAGGAGAAATACTACGGTCAGGCACAGGCTTTAGGAAAATCCTTTTGGCAGCTGAGTAGATTAGGGATAGGAGAGGGAAAAGGTTTGAGTCTAGAGGTGTGGGAAGAATAGAAATGTGTTGCAATAGTTTATGAGTACTTGCCACCAGAGTGGCTGATATGTGAGTAGAGAGAAGGCATTTATAAGAGAGGTGAAGGTAGAAACAGAAAACACTTAACAAGAGGTTGTATATGAGGGATGGGTGCAAGTAAAAAGTCAACAATGACACTGGGGTTATGAACCTAGGTGACTGAGAGGATGTAGCGCTCTCAAGAATAAAAGGGAAAAAATTAAAAATGGGATTGAGGGAACAGGAAATGAGTTCTGTTTTGGGTATGTTGAGTTTGAGATGCATATGGGATATCCATTTTGAGATAGCCAAAAGATAGTTGGCAATGTAAGGCTAGTTCAGGACACATACACAAGTAATTTGATGCTTTGAAGGAGTCACCATATTCTAGCCCTAAAGCTGGAAAAAATAGAACCTGTTGCATAGAACCTTCTTATTTTTAAAGTGAGATAACTTAGGCCCAGGAAAGCCAAGCAACTTTCCCAACACCATGTAGACGGTCAACATTAGGGGTAGAATTTGATCCCAGTTCCTCTGACTTCAGGGGTAATGTTCTTTCTACCATCCCACACTGGCTCCCTTTGAACAAAAAGTGAGCAAATTTAGATAAATGTTCCAGGTATCAAACCCAGGCTTCACACATGCAATGTACATGCTATGTCTAAGCTATAACCCCCAAGTTCAATGGAAAAAAATGGGTCCTCCCCAACGGGACCATTGCCAAAGATTAGATTACCTAATGGCCAATCTAATGCTGACAAGGCTTTTCACAGACAGTTTTTCACACATAACAGACACAGTCTGCTGCTGGGACTATACTGAAAGATTTTGTAATTTACTCACACCTGGCAGAAATTATGCTCTTGGGACTTAATCTTTTCTTATTTTGTTTTGTTTTTAATTTTTGCTACATTTCATTTCCCCTAATTACAAGTTGAAACAATTTTTAACATTTGTATCAAGTTTTGAATTTCCAATTCTATCTCTCCCTCCTTCTCTGCCCTCCCCCCTCCCTGTGATGGTAAGTAATCAGATAAAAGTTGTACATGTGCAATTATGTAAAACATTTCCACATTAGTCATTTTGTATAAGAAGACTTGAATAAAAGAAAAAGAATGAAAGAAAGAAAGTGAAAATACCATGATTCCGTTTGTATTCAAACAATGTCAGTTCTTTCTCTGGAAGCAGAGAGTATGCCTCATCATCGGTCCTTTGTGATTTTCTTGGATCAACGTATTGCTGAGAATAGCTAAGTCATTCACCATTCTTCATTGAACAATATTGCTGTTACTGTGTATAACATTTTTCAGGTTCTGTTCACTCCACTTTGCATCAGCTCACATAAGTCTTTTCAGGCTTTTCTGAAATCATCTTGCTTGTCATTTCTTCTAGAACAATAATATTCTACTACAATCATACACCACGGTTTGCTTAGCCATTCTCCAATTTATGAGCATCCCTTAGACTTCCAATTCTTGGTCACCATGAAAAGAGCTGCTTTAAAGGTCCTCCTCCTAGGGGGCAGCTAGGTGGCACAGGGGAGAGCACCGGCCCTGAAGTCAGGAGGACCTCAGTTCAAATCCGGCCTCAGACCAAACACTTGACACTTACTAGCTCTGTGACCCTGGGCAAGTCACTTAACCCCAATTGCCTAAAAGCAATAAATAAATAGATAGATAGATAGATAGATAGATAGATAGATAGATAAATGAATGAATAAATAAATAGACAAATAAATAAATGAATGAATGAATGAAGGTCCTTCTCCCCCACCTTTTTGATATCTTTTGGATATAGTCAAAGGATATGCAAAGTTTTATTGTGCTTTGGGCATAGTTCCAAATTGCTCTTTAGAATGGTTGCATCAGTTCACAACTCCACCAATAATGCATTAGTGTCTCAGTTTTCCTACATTCCCTCCAACATTCATCATTTCAGCATTGTTTTTGTCATATTAGCCAATCTGATAAGTGTGAGGTGGTACCCCAGAGTTGTTTTAATTTGCATTTCTTTAATCAATAGTGATTTAGAAGATTTTTATATGACTATAGATAGTTTTGAAGTTTTTGCCTGAAAACTGCTTGATCACATCCTTTTTCCATTTATCAATTGGAGAATGACTTGTGTTTTTATAAAGTAGACTTAGTTCTCTATATATTGGAGAAATGAGGCATTTATCAGAGGTACTTGTAGCAAAATTTTCCCTAGTTTTCTGCTTTCCTTATAATTTTGGTTGCATTGGTTTTGTTTGTGCAAAAACCCTTTTTTAAATTTTCTATAATCAAAATTATCTATTTTACATTTTCTAATGTTCTCTTATCTCTTGTTTGGTCAAAAATTCATCCCTTATCCACAGATCTGATAGATAAACTATTCCATGCTCTCCTAATTTGATTATGGTATCACTGGACTGAGTCTTTAAAAATCCAGGGTCAACCCCACGTCACAATGGGGGATATCAAGAAACTAACCACTTCCTCTTAAGATCTGTTGTGGTGGTGGAGAACTGGGTATAACACATGTACTCAAGATTTGGAGATGGTAGACTTCACAAAGTACAGAGCAGGTCTATTTTAGGATCCTATGTTTTAATGTTCTCCAGGGGAAGTTCATAGACTGTCCAAGAGGGGAAATGCAAATTTGAACAACAATAAAACTATTTCTCACCCAGAAAATTAGCAAAGGTGTCAAGAGATGGCAAATGTTGATATTGGAGGTGCTGAGGGAGCATAGGCAAATTTTTGGCAAATCTGCAAATTGGCAGTTATGTCCTCTCTTAGCGCCTCCTTACTTTTAGAGGACAGTTTGGACAAAAAAAAATTATTTCCTACTTCATGTGTCCTTCTACCACAAATGATTCTTAAAATGTGTACCTATCTCATAGGGAAGGTCATGAATGACATTTGACCCAAATATTGGGCAATAAAATATTTTTATTAGGCAATAAAAACTAATCAACATGAGTCTGGGAACACGTTATTTTTTTTCTAGCTTGGCTAGGTTATAAATGAGATTTTAATTACTTTTCCCTATGAGATGAATGACTTGCTAATAAAAAAGAAAGAGAAATGTATTTAGAAACCATCCCTACCATAAGACAATTTTAGCCATTGCCTTCAGAGGTAGGAAAGAAAAATTGGCATGCTGCACAAC